AAGCCAAGGAGGCGGCCTCAGGTCTCCAGCACCACGGCGCCGGTGCAGGGCTGGGGGCCGGTCTGTGGCTGTTACCCCCCGCGGCTCCGGAGGCTGAGATGTCAGGATCCGGTTTGTGGCTCCAAGAAGTGAGCTCAGGAGCAGCGGGCCCGGCCAGGCTCGGGCTCTTTTTTTTTTCTTTTTTTTTTTGTTGGTCGTGGGGCTTGAACTCTGGGCCTGGGCGCTGTCCCTCAGCTCTTCAGCTCAAGGCGAGCACTCTACCACTTGAGCTACAGCGCCACTTCCGGTTTTCTGGTGGTTTATTGGAGATAAGAGTCTCACGGTCTCTCCTGCCCGGGCTGGCTTTGAACCGCGATCCTCAGATCACAGCCTCCTGAGTAGCTAGGATTACAGGTGTGAGCCACCAGCGCCCGGCTTCGGGCTCTTTTGCTGGGCCATTGTCACCCTGCTGCACGGCCACATGTGCCACGCCCGCCCGTGGCGCAGGGAGCGGCTGGACAGGGGCCGGACAGGGCCTGGAGAGGAGCTGATGCCCAGGGGCGCCCAGGGACCCCGAGGCCCAGGCCATCCCTCCTGCCAGGCCCTGCTCAGAGGACTGGCCCATCTCATGAAAGGCAAACAGATGTGTTTTATTGACAGCACACACACACACAGCAGTTCCATTTCCCACAAACATCGCAACTGAGACTCGTTAACTCTGCCAGGGGTCCTCCGGCATCTGGGCTTCGGTTAGGCCAAACACCAGGCTTTGCACGTCAGGTGTCAAAGGTCGAATTCAGCTCTGCACAAACACTAGTGGCCCCCAAAGCATAAGATCCGCGGGTGATCACGGGCCTCCCAGCTGGCCCTGCACACATTGTTTTTGTTGGCAAAGCTGTGTTACCACCAGGAGTCCTGCAGGGACGAACTCAGCAGGGATGGGGGGGGGCGCTGTCCTCGTGACTCAGGGAAGGCTGGAGGCTGGAGGCTGGTGAGGAGGCCCGGCCTACATTCTTGCCAATCTAGTCTCATGCCTCAGGTCCAGATACCTAGAACCCCAGGCCTCACTCCTACGGGAGTTGGCTAATGGCAGTTCCGGCGGCTGCCTCTCTGGGTGGACTTCCAACACCTTGTTCATCTTGGCAAAGATCTTGTTGATCTCAATGAATGTCTGGGCCTTGGTCTCGGGGACAACCATGGAGATGTAGATGGTGGTGAGGAGACAAATGACGGCAAAGATGATGAAGCTGTAGGGGCCGAGTCCCATCTGTGGGAGGAAGGGCGGCTGAGGCGGGCTGCGGCCACAGGGGCTGGCTGGGAGGTTCTTGCTCTGTGGCTTGGGGGTTGGGGTGACCCCGGAGCCCCAGGTCTCACTCACTTGAATGAATGGAAAGATGAGGCCCACAGTGAAGTTGGAGAGCCAGTGGATACTGCCGCCCACCATGAAGGCCGCTGGCCGAGAGGACTGCAGGAAGATCTCAGTGATGAACAGCGCAGGGATGGGACCTGGGGGAGACAAGGGTGGAAGGAAGGGAGGGAGAGAGGGAGGAGGGGTGGGAGGGAGGGAGAGGGGAGCAGAAGAGGAGGGGGGAGGGAAGGAGAAAGAGGAAAAGAGGGAGGAAAGGAGGGTGGGGAGGGGAAGAGGGAGCAGGCCACAAAATGTCCTAGCATCCCTGGGGGTACGGGGCATCTGCCAGCCCCCGGGGCTTAGGTGGCAGCAGGGAGAGGAGATGAATGGCAGTTGACACCGCCAGGTGGAATGGTGGCACCCTGTGCAGTGGGCGTGGCCCCTTGTTGGCCTCCTGCTCCTGATCTCAGAGGTCAGTGATTTCAGCCTACATAGCTCAGGACGGTCTGGGGACCGGGAGAGAGGGCGAGGCCACATCAGGGCCACATCTGCCCTGCCTGGAGCCTCTCACAGAAGCTCAAGCTACAGGTTTCCAGGACATGAGAGGGGCCCTGGGGCACGTACTGGGCCCGAGGGCGTGTCCAATGACGTAGGCGATGACGCAGGTGATGCTGATGTATGGCATCCAGGAGACCTGGTCCTGGGGGTGGGGACAGGTGGTTGGTTAGCGCCTGGCAAAGCAAAGGCCAGCTGGGCGGGCAGCTGAGGGGCTGGGCCCCTGAGGGACAGCCTCTGTGCCCGGGGGTGGAGCAGGGCCTGGCTGGGGGGATGGCTCCTAGCTGGAGGTCCTGGCTGAGGTGGGGGGAGAAAGGGTCCTGGCTGGGGGGGAGGGCTCCTGGCAGGTGGGGAGGGCTCTTGACTGGTGGTCCTGGCTGGGGGGGGGCTCCTGGCTGGGGGTGAGGGCTCCTGGCTGGGGGGAGGGCTCCAGGCTGGGGGTCCTGGCTGGGGAGGAGGGTTCCTGGCTGGGGGGAGAGATCCTGGCTGAGGGGGACGGTTCCTGGCAGAGGGGAGGGCTCCTGACTGTCTGGAGGGCTCCTGGCAGGTGGGGAGGGCTCTTGACTGGTGGTCCTGGCTGGGGGAGAGGGCTCCTGGTTGGGAGGGAGGGCTCCTGGCTGGGGGTCCTGGGTGGGGGGGAGGGCTCCTGATGGGGGTCCTGGCTGGGGGGAGGGCTCGTGGCTGGGGGAAGGCTCCTGGGTGCTCCAGAAGCCACCTCTGCAAACTCAGGGAAACCCATGCAGATGGTGGACGGATGGGGTTTGCTAGGACCAGGTCACTTTGATGTTCTCCTTGCGGTGGGGTTGGCACCTGCAGCACCAGCGCGATCGTCAGCACCACACAGGCCGAGAAACAGGTGGAGAAGCCCAGCAGGAGCAGCCGCCGCCGTCCCCAGAGCTCCACCACAAACACCTGGAGGAGGGAGGTGGGGGGACTCAGAGGCCAAGTGTCCCACGGGAAAGCTCTCCTTGCCCCTCACAGCCCCTTCCAAGGGGCCCCAGGGCTGTGTGCCCACATATATGCACGCAGCTGCATGCTTGTGCCCACAGCTCACGCCCAAGAGTGGACCGTGGGGGGCCTGGCCATTGTCCCCGGACCCTGGTCCCTGCTCTTGGGCTAGACTTGTGACCCTGGGGCACGTTTAAAACCCGAGCCCTCTATGACCCTAGAGAGCTGGATCTGGGGGTGCAGCTGAGAGCGTGCACGGAGGCCGGGGTCCCACCCTGGGGGCTGGGGCCCCACTTGGGTACCGCTCTGGCACGGAGCCATGGGCGACAGACTCACGCAGGACCACAGGTGCCCTGCCGAGGAAGGGACCCCCCATTCCAATCATGCTCAGCGGCCCTAGACCTTAGGGACAGGACCAGAGCCCCCCCCACGTGTGGGAGCGTCTGGAGTGGGGTGGGCGTCCCGGGTGGGGGCCCCAGGGCTTGTCCCCACGGAGGCTGGCTGTCTTTCAGCCGCTCAGGTCCCTCCTCCGTGGGGACCTTCCCACAGCACCGCGATCCCTCCTGCCCTGTCACTCACAATGACGATGGTCATGACCACGTTGACGGCGCCCGTGCCGGCCGTCACGTACTGCACGTCGCTGCTGGCCACGCCGGCGCTCAGGTAGATCTGGTCTGCGTAGTAGTAGATCTGGAAGGTAAGGCAGATGCCGGGCTGGGGTGGGGGGGCAGCTCCAGGACAGCCCCCCAGCCCGTGGGCCGCCCCGTTACCGCGTTCACTCCGGACAGCTGCTGGCCGCCCATGAGGACGATGACGGAGATGAGCTGCCAGCGCCAGTGGCGCAGGCGGAACAGCTTCCACGGGGACACGGAGCCCTCGGCCCGCTCCGCCTCGTCTTCGTGCGCGATCTCCTTCATCTCCGCGTCCACGTCGTCCCAGCCACGTAGCCTCTGCAGGGCTGGGGGGGCAGCGTGCTCAGCCAGAGCTGCTGCGGGCAGGGGGAGGCAGGGGTGGGGGCAGCGTGCTCAGCCAGAGCTGCTGCGGGTGGGGGAGGCAGGGGGGCAGCTCACCCTTCCTGGCGGCCTCGGGGTCCCTCTTCTGGATGAGCAGGTAGCGGGGGCTCTCGGGGAAGAAGGGCAGGATCAGGAGCTGCAGCACCGCGGGGATCCCGGTCAGCGCCAGCAGGAAGGGCCAGCCTGCGAGCAAGGTGCTGCTGTCACGTGGGCCTCCGGACCTGGCCAGCCCGGCGCCTGCCACCTGCCCTCTGTGTCCCTCTGCCCACCACCAGCCATTGAGAGACAAAGACTGGATCTGTGTCAGTCCTGGGGCTTGAACTCAGGGACTAGATCCTGTCCCTAAGCCTGGTGCTCTACCACTCCCGCCACAGCTCTACTTCCAGCTTTCGGTGGAGCTGTCTGCCCTGGCAGGCATCAAACCACGACCCTCAGGTCTGAGCCTTCTGAGGAGCTCGGATGGCAGGCGTGAGCCCCAGAACCCAGCGGAGATGGTCTGTGCTGGGCAGACTCTCAGTGGCTGCTCCTGCAAGCCTGAGGTCTGAAGGGCTGTGGTGCCTCTACAGGCGGACAAAGTAGAAAGTCCAACAAATCTAAGTGCTGGCGGGAACACAGGCCATGCGGATCATCGTACGGGTGTGTGGTGTCCTGTGGGTGCAAAGGCCCTGGGCACACTCCATCCACTGGCTTGCTCATTCACCCCTACTTTATGCTCAGAAGCTCGAGCCTAGGACCCCAGGACACCTGAGTGGTCAGAAAAAACCTGGCTGTGTGCTGGTGCTTCACCCCTGTAATCCTAACCACTCAGGAGGCTGAGATCTGGGGGTTGAGGTTCAAGGCGAACCCAGGCAGGAAAGTCTGTGAGAATTTTTTTAAAAAAATCAGTCATGGGGCTTGAACTCAGGGCCTGTTGTCCTTGAGCTCTTTTGCTCAAGGCTAGTGCTCTACCACTTGGAACCATATACTATAGCTCTACTTCCAGTTTTCTTGTGGTTAATGGGAAGTAAAAGTCTGTTCTGGCTAGGTGCTGGTGGCTCACACGTGTCTTCCTAGCTACTCAAAAGGCTGAGATCTGAGGATCACAGTTCAAAGCCAGCCTGGGCAGGAAAGTCCATAAGATTCTTATCTCCAATTAAACACCAGAAAACTGGAAGTAAGTGCTTACTTGGGCAGCACATATACTAAAATTGGACGATACAGAGAAGATTAGCATGGCTCCTGCACAAGAATGACACACAAATTTGTGAAGCGGTCCATATTCTTGTACAAGTCGTTATGTCGAAAAACGAACTTTCCAACTTTGCTGGGAGGGTGGAGGATTGGGAAGGGCGGGGGGCGGGGGGGAATAGGAAGGGATGGGAAGGGGAAACAAAGGAGGAGGCTACAATGCTTGATAAGAAATGTACTCTTGGGGCTGGGAAGGTGGCTCAGTGGTAGAGTGCTTGCCTTGCATGCCAGAGGCCCTGGCTTCGATTCCTCAGCACCACATAAGCAAAAAGAAAAAAGCCGGAAGTGGTGCTGTGGCTCAAGTGGTAGAGCGCTAGCCTTGAGCTGAAGAGCTGAGAGACAGCTCCCAGGCCCAGAGTTCAGGCCCCATGACTGGACCCAAAAAAACAAAAAAAAGGAAAAAGAAATGTACTCATTATGTTGCCCATGTAATTGTAACCTCTCTGTACAGTATTTTCACAATAAAAACAAAACAAAACTGCAAGTATGACTGTGGCTCAAGTGGTAGAGAGCTCACCTTGAGCTGAAGAACTCAGGGACAACGCCCAGGCCCAGAGTTCAAGCCCCACAACCAAAAACAAAACAAAACAATAAAACAAAGAAAGTCTGTCTTGGGCTGGCTTTGAACTGTGACCCTCAGATCTCAGCTGGATTATAGGCACAAGCCATCAGCACCCAGTGAGATTCTTACCTCCAATTACCTACCAGAAAACTGGAAGTGAAGCTGTGGTTCAAAGTGGTAAAGTACTAGCTCTGAGCACAAAAGCTCAGGAACAACACCCAGGCCCTGAGTTCTAACGCAGGATTGGGTGCCAGTATGGGCACAGATAAAGGACATATTGGCTGTGGCCACCCAGTGATGACAATGAAGCCATCTATGGCCTGGCTGTATCTCCTAGGCAGGACCTAACAAGCTACACAAAGTGACATCCTTGAGTCAAGTTCAGACTCGGGGGACATTAACCTGGTCACCACCAAAGTAGTGAGGCTGGAGGCAAGCAAGGCAAAGGCAGCTATAGCTGGCCACCTGTAGTTCATAGTTCATATCTGTCATCCTAGCTACCCCAGAGGCTGAGATCTGAGGATTGAGATTCCAAGCCAGCCCAGGCAGGAAAGCCTGTGAGATTCTTTTTTTTTTTTTTTGGATCCGGTCGTGGGGCCTGAACTCTGGGCCTGGGCGCTGTCCCTCAGCTCTTCAGCTCAAGGCTAGCGCTCTACCACTTGAGCCACAGCGCCACTTTCGGCTTTTTTCTTTTTGCGTATGTGGTGCTGAGGAATCGAACCCAGGGCCTTAGGCATGCAAGGCAAGCGCTCTGCCACTGAGCCAACTTCCCAGCCCACCTGTGAGATTCTTATCTTCACTTAACCACCTAAAAAGTCAGAAGTGGAGCTATGGTTCAAACAGTAGAGTGCCAACCTTGAGCAAAAAAAAAAAAAAAAGGCTAAAACAAGCAGATAAACAAATAAATGGGCAGGGGCAGGGCATGATTGAGGGCACGCAGAAGCGCTGGAGGGGCCGAGGGGACTCTATCTAGACCTGGCAAATGATCATGAAGGTGTTTGCTTTCTAGCTGATTTCTCTACGTCTTTTCCTTTGTTGTGAATCATACCACCATGTGGGAAATACTTGGACTCCATAAGCCAGTACTGGGGCTCCTATCTGTGTGGTGGCGCCCCAGCCCACCTGCCTCGGCTCCAGGGCTCGCAGCCTGGGACCGTCTTGGGCAAGGAATTGCCCGGGGTGCTGTCACCAAGCTTACTTCCTCCCATAGTGTTCGGTGGGCGAGGTACCAGGACCACCCATTCCACAGGGGAGGTCTGCTGCAGGGTCATTTGGGCCTTGGGAGCAAAGCTGAGGCGGGCGGAAGCAGCAACCCTCTAGCACGAGGCTGACAGACACATCTAACTTAAGGCTGTAAGCTCCTGACAACCCATGACCTCTGGATTCAGAGTGTGTGTGCATGTGCACCAGCACTGAGGCTTGAACTCAGGGCCTGGGCACTGCCCCTTAGCTTTTTCACTCAGGCCTGGTGCTCTAGCACTCAAGCCATAGCTCCACTTCCAGCTTTTTGGTGGTTAGTTGGAGTAAGAGCCTCGCAGACTCTCCTGCCCGGGCTGTCTTCAGATTTCGATCCACAGGTGTCAGCTCCTGAGTTGCCCCAGTGTCTAGCAGCTTCCTTTCTGGTGTGTGGAGTGGGCTGGTCACCAAGCCTTGGTCACAGTGCTGCGGCAAGGCCGGGGACAGGGCCCAGGAACCCTGAGCACAGTCTCTGGCACGTTGGTGGCTGTCACTGCAGCGTGCCGGCCTCTGTGTGGACAGACGCAGCGCGGGCCCTTCCCTTCTCCAGCTGCTCGCCATTTCCTAAGGGAACCTGTCACTGGAGCTCACTCTTGAGCGCTGCAGCCTGGGGCCCCACTGGGGTCTGGGCCACTGCCCCATGGACAGAAGCACATTAGTGTCCTGGCCTGAGGAATGGGGTGGGGTGAGAGGCGGGGGAGCTGGGACTCACCCGTCTCATTTGCTAGAACATTCCGAAGGCCGACCACCTGGGCCAGCAGGATGCCGACAGTGATGAAGAGCTCGGGCACCACTCCAAGGGCCCCCCTCAGGTTTTTGGGAGCCACCTCCCCTAAGTACATAGGGACCACGTTGGAAGAGACACCTGGGGGAGGGGGTGGGATGAAAACACAGTTAGGAAAAAGCATCCTGGCAGTGGGGCGCTGGTGGCTCACGCCTGTCAGCCTAGCTCCTCAGAAGCTGAGATCTGAGGATCTCGGTTCAAAGCCAGCCTGGGCAAGGAAAATCCATGAGACTCTTTTTTTTTTTTTAATTTGAAAATTTTAATTTATTTAGTTTGTAATGTGTCGTGAGACTTTTATCTTCAATTAACCACCAGAAAACTGGAAGTGGCGCTGTGGCTCAAGTGGTAGAGTGCTCACCTTGAGCTGAAGAACTCAGGGACAATGCCCAGGCCCAGAGTTCAAGGCCCACGACCAACAAAAAACCTCCAAAACACAAAGAACATCCTGGCACAGTTGAGCTGTGGCTTCAAAGGAAAGCTATTCTCTCCTGGGGCAACATTTCTTCAGGATAGAAACAGAACATAGGGCTGTAAAGGTGGCTCAGTGGTAGAGCGCTTGCCTTGCATGGCTCTGAGTTCGATTCCTCAGCATCACATAAGCAAAAAGGAAAAAGCCAGAAGTGGCTCTGTGGCTCAAGTGGTAGAGTACTGGCCTTGACTGAAGAGTTGAGGGACAGCACCCAGGCCCAGAGTTCAGGCACCATGACTGGACCCACCCACCCCACCCCCCCAAAAAAAGAAACAGAGAATATAAATGCTGCTTTTTATTCTCAGTCCCTCACATTTTAAGGAAAGAGAAGTCAAGCCAGGCACCGGTGGCTCAGGCCTGTCATCCTAGCTACTCAGCAGGCTGAGATCTAAGGTTGGTGATTCAAAGGCAGCCCAGGCAAGAAAGTCCAGGAATCTCCAATGAAATCACCAGAAAGCTGAAAGGAGATCCATAGCTTGAGTGGTAGAGCTTAGCAAGTGTGTAAGATCCTGAGTTCAAGTCTCAGTACACACACACACACACACACACACACACACACACACCAGCATTGCTGAAACAAAGAAGGCATTGCAGTATGGTCTTCCTTGAAGGATTATATAGGCCTCAAGAACCTTTTGAGCCCTGATCATATAAAATAATGAACTCCAGAAACTGGAACCATTTTTTTCCTTTTCTTTTTGTCTTTGTTTATGTATCTTTGGACAGCACCCAGGCCTAGAGTTCAAGTCCCACAACTGGCAAAAAGAAAAAAAGAAAAGAAAATGAGCCAGGCGTTGGTGGCTCACGCCTGTAATCCTAGCTATTCAGGAGGCTGAGATCTGAGGATTGAAGTTCAAACCTAGCTCAGGCAAGAAAGTCCATGAGACTATCTTCAATAACCTACAAGAAAACCAGAAGTGGCGCTGTGGCTCGAATGGTAGAGCGCTCGCCTTATGCTGAAGAGCTGAGGGACAGCGCCCAAGCCCAGAGTTCAAGCCCCACAACCGACCAAAAAAAAAAAAGAAAAAGAAAAAAGAAAGAAAAGAAAATGAATTATACAACTTGTGGGTGGAGATGCGAGGGAAAGACTGGGAGAGAGCAAAGGAAAGGGTGACATTGTCCAAAGAGAAATGTACTCTCTGACTCAGGTAACTGGAATCCCTCTGTACATCACCTTTATACTAACAATAGAAAAAAAAGATAACCTATTTAGGGTCGGCTTGGGTGTTGAAGCTTCAGAGCCCGTGGGCTGGTTTAGAGCCCAGTAGGTAAGCCTCCCTTCACCTTGATGTCCAGAATGGTAGAAGGGCCGAATGGCCACAGTGTGCACCTGCACAGATTCCCACCAGGAGTCTGGAGAAGATGATGAGCTCGTACAGCCTGGCGACTTTACTGCAGCCCATCAATATCGCTGGCACCACTGAGAAGATGTTGTTGAACAATAACCCGCCTTTTCTGTAGAGGAACAAAATGGTGGTTAGCGTGGCTTCAGGATTCCCTCATTCATCATCGGTTGATGGTTTATTCAATTTGATTATTTTTTTTTTGTGCCAGTCCTGGGGCTTCACTCAACCATATATGCTTGCTTGGCTCTTTTGCTCCAGGCTGGTGCTCTACCGCTTGAGCCACACCTCTATTTCTGGCTTTTTGTACTTTATTTTATTTTTTGCCAGTTCTGGGGCTTGAATTGAGGGCCTGGGAACTGTCCCTGAGCCTCTTTTGCTCAAGGCTAGCACTCTACTACTTAAGCCACAGTGCCTCTTCCAGCTTTTTCTGAGAACTTAATTGAAGATAAAAGTCTCATGGCCTTTCCTGCGTGGGCTGGCTTTGAATGGCAATCCTCAGATCTTAGCCTCCTGAGTAACTGGTGCCTGGCTATTTCTGGCTTTTTGATGCTTACTTAATTAGAGACAGGAGTCTTACAGACTTTCCTGCCCAGGCTGGCTTTGAACGGAGATCCTCAGATCTCAGTCTCTAGAGTAGCT